ATCTTCGAATAAACTTAGAAATTAGCAGCAATCTCTCCTGGTGAGTCAGAAGTACGTTTGCGAAATTAGAATGTGTTAAAATCTGGGATTCAGTTCCTCGAGCGCAGATAGCACATTGTGTAGCTTTACACTGAAAAACAACAAAACTTCAAACTCGAGCTACAGTAACAATTCTTGTTCAGGTTTGGTCAACATTAAAGTATGGGTGTGATTCCCAGTTGTTTTTTTTCTACACGACTTCTGAGAAAACACCAGATTGTCTCAAGGACAAACCTATCACCGGATGGGAACTTTCATGCACGTGATAGAACCACAACTATGACATTGCCAAGCCCAGCTAAAGGTTGATAAAAGATATTTAAGTAAATTTTCTACCTTGGTAACCGCACTGCAAAGATGTTAAATAGGTTTGATTCAATATTTGTAGTGTTGCTTTTGTGGACTGTTTATGCAGAGACTGAAAAGGTAATTTGTGTTTGAAATAGTTTTAACTTGTCCAATGTTTTCAGTTTACTGTATAGTTTTTACTAAACAGAAAACGAACACTGTGTATGACAATCTGTGTCTGGCATGAGCAGTTTTTAATTTGTATTTATGACAAATCTACTAAGACTTTCTTCCGCAGTTCTAATTTTGAAGTACAGACCAAAAGGAAGGTAGCCAATCAACAGAACCCTACCACCCACTGTCTATGAGAAGGGATTAGTTGTCACTCTTATAACGCACCACAGCTTAAAATACTATGATTATTTTGTTGTGATTTGAAGCCAACTCTGCAATCCAGAGCTCTTCCTCAGGACCCACCATGAACAACACGGTTGTGTTTCACATATTATTACATAAATATCTTAAATTGCATGTGTGTGTACAGAAATATGTTACAACCATGCGGTAGTTTATATACTTATGATCAAAATATCACTACTATCTCAAAAGGTATGTTACATAGAGAAAAGTTAATCATTTACTGGATACAGTGTGAAATTAAAATAAACTGAACAAATATTTGAAAAAATGAATGTTTAAAACTTTTCACTAATACGCAAGAAATATATTATACTGAAAATATTTTAATGTCACTAATTATTATTAACAAGCTTTTATTGAAGATGTTTAGCAGTTCTGCTGGTATAAGTTATTACAGAAGTACAAGCATGTCATAAACTTTTAACTAGTTATTCAAAACGTTCCCGTTAAAGTTACATAGGTGGTTTCACGTGTTGTGTCATTCCCTGAGGGAGATTGGTGAAAATGGGACCAACGTTTCGCCAGTTATAAATGGACACACACACGCAGAGACTTCTCACAAATAATGGTTTAGATTTTATGATGTTATAAACTTTTAACTAGTTATTCAAAACGTTCCCGTTAAAGTTACATAGTGGTTTCACATGTTGTGTCATTCCCAGAGGGAGATTGGTGAAAATGGGACCAACGGTTCGCCAGTTATAAATGGACACACACGCGCAGAGACTTCTCAGAAATAATGGTTTAGATAATGTTGATATTCAAGATGCATACAGAATGTCCGGAAATTATATTAACAGTTTCCTGAACTTAAATAAATAAAATTATTTACATAATTTTCAGACACGCTGCTCTTAAGACGAAATATCCCCTTTATTTATAGTACTTATATTTCAACTTAAAAATGTATTTTCAATTTAGAAAATCTTTCTCATCAGTCAAAATAATGCTTTTTTTGTTAAATGTAAAAGCCTTTTGTTTTATCAGTTTTTAAAACAAAACCAGCATAAATAAGTACAGTACCTGGCATAACTAAAACTAAAGATACACAAATAAACTATTTAAACTTACCAAGTGCGATCAGATAGTCAATATTTTTTGTAAGATATTAACAACAATAAAAATATATGTTTCATCGAAAGATAACATATTGCCAAAACTTAAAAATATTTTGAAAAGTTAAACATTAACCAAATATATGCTTCCCGGTGCCTTATAACGCTAAAAACCGGGTCTCGGTAATCGTGATTGGCACAGCAGAAATAACCCCTTTGTAGTTTTGCGCTTAACAACAAACAAAAATGGCAACTATATATAATAAAATACTACCTGAAGCTACCAGTAAAGAACCTAATTATAGCTAGTAACTACCTACACCTTTAACCCATGTCACATGAGATGGCAGTTCTCTAACATGTTAACTTTACAATCAACTGAAAATTTGTTATGTTTAATCCATTCATAAGCTATTTGATGTTTCACATTACTAACCTAACCTTTACTAAAAACGAAAAACTTGTCAAGATGTGTAATCCATTCATAAGCTATTTGATGTTTTACATTACTAACCTAACCTTTACTAAAGACTGAAAACTTGTCAGGATGTGTAATCCATTCATAAACTACTTGATGTTTTACAATATTAACCTAACCTTTACTAAAACTGAAAACTTGTCAGGATGTTTAATTCATTCATAAGCTATTTGATGTTTTACATTACTAACCTAATTTTTATTAAAAACTGAAAACTTGTCAGGATGTGTAATCCATTCATAAGCAATTTGATGTTTTAAATTACTAACCTAACCTAACCTTTATTATCAACTGAAATCTTTAGTAAGGAAGCATATTATGTTAATATAATAACAAGTAGTCATACAACGATTGATAAGCATAATGAAGTTATTGTATGTTTCATCATGAATAAATCACTTAATTATGTTTATAAATCGTTGTTTTACATCAGAATATTATCGGTGTTTCGTCGTGTTTTGCGCCACCTGAGACCATTTTACATCCTGCCTTGACGATTTGTTAATTTCCTGTTAAATGCTAGACGAATCACATCACGAAATTAGGACTCAAACACTTCGCAGTAATTACACTAACTCTACTTCTCTCTTCAAGGCCATGTCCATAAATGTAACACTTGTAGCATTTATTGCTTTTTTGCCACTTATCTTAATTTAATTGTGTAACAGTTCTACACTTCACAAACAATTCATCGACAAATCATCAGTTTTCACTAGACATAAATACCCTTTAAATAGACTTTTGATATCTTAATTTAAATGACATTATTAAGATCTAGCTACAAGTGGCCTCTTTTTGTAAGATAACCCTGGATATTGTTGTATTGTATCGTGTATTTTTAAGCGAGAAGAAAATCCATGAGTTGCTGTATTATGTAAAGAATAATAATTGTAAAGTGTTTCTTGAATGTTGAAAAAAGTAGAGCAACGTAGTCTTGTTGGTTTAGACGTTAGAGGGTTTTGATATTCACCGATAAAATCGAATACAGTGTTTTGGCAGCTTCTATTATCAGGTTATTTTATGTGGTTGTAAATAAACTTACGGGTGTTTTTTTATTATTTCTGGGTATGCTATATTTTGCGGTTGAGTTTTCATTTGTCCAATTGTTATGTCAGATTGTCATTTTGTAGTTTCTTTCATTTGTCGCTATCTTTGTTAATTTTGTGTTGTTTCTTTGAGTGAGATGTTTGTTTACTGTGTAGTTTCTTTCCATGTGTTGTGTATGTTTCTGTAGTTTGGTTATCATGTTGTATCTTGTTTTAATTTCTTTGTAATTTGCCGTGTGCTATTATTTACAATTACAGTTTTGTTTTTTATCGTGCAAATTGAGTTATGGTGATCTCCACCGTAACCCACAGATTTACAGGCTGTTGTAATATGTCCGCATCATTGGCAATTAAAACATTGTGTCACGACAACAGCTGGCGTTTTACTTTCTTCTATCTGGAATTTCTGATAACAGATAAAAGCACTGTTACGACAGCGGAAGTCACGTGGCGATAGTAACACGCCATTGACTTCTAGAAATATCCTGTTCCTTCATGAATGCTCTAGCGTTTACTAGATATGTGTTAGTCTTGTTTATATAAGACGGTCAC